GTGCGATTGGCGTTCTACGTCTAGCAGCGCTTGCCGGGATCCTAGCACTTTGAGGCCTTCGCGGATGCCGTAGGGTGGGTCGCATACGATGCCGTCGAGGTAGCCTGTCGTGTGATCTTTGCTGGGTGGCGGTATCCTCAGTGGGGTGTTGGTGAGGTCGGAGACGAAGGCGCCTAGGTAGCTTGACTCTAAGTCGTACTGCTTGAAGTTGCCGACGACGTCGTACTTCCCTGTCTGTCCCCTTCTTGCGCTGCCTCCTAGACCGCGGATAGTGCGCCCGTCAATGTCACTCCCAAACACCACTGCTCCGAAGTGAGCGCATGCTATCGGGAAGCCGCCCGTGCCCATGAAAGGGTCGTAAAACAACTTCCCCGGTGCCACGTGTGCGATGTTAGCCGTTAGCAGCGTGAGCTCGGCGTCCATCGATGTAGTGCTGATGTAATGTCTCTTTTTGAGATCAAATGTCTTCTTGGCTTCGTTCCGACATGAATCGGCGATGAAGCGACCAAAGTAAATGTACTTCGGCTTCTTAACATTAAGATCGTAGTCTTCAAAGACACGAAATGCGACATCTGGGTTTCGCATCCGCGGTGGTCCCTTGAAGGCCATGTAGGAGAAGCTGTCGATGATGTCGCGCTGCTCATCGTTGGATCTACTTCCGCGATAGCCTTCTACGGTAAAGCGGAAAGATGCCGTAATGTACTGCGGCCACCAGGATGTGGTCAGACTGCGGACGGAGTCGTGAAGGGTGTCGTATGTTGATCCCTGGCCCCATAGCTCGTAGATGCCCTGTGCGAGGATGCTCCGTGCGATGACTTTTCGTGCCGCAGCCTCTGACGGCAGATCGACAATGCAGTAGGGTGACTTTGATCGTCAGAAATGTATGCTTTTGTAAGGCGTGACGCGACACTGGGGATTGCTTTTCCAGGATCTGAACCAAAACAACACTGCGAAAGACGCGACTGATGAAGTCGAGACAGCAAGACCGCTGGGTGAAAGAAAAGCTACTTACATCTTCTTCATACTTGACGAAGTGTAAAGGCACTCCAGCAATATCGGCTAGCGCTTGCAGTTCGACTTTGCGAAAACTCTCATGCGCTTGCGCAAGCCGGACGAGATACTGAGGCATGTTGTTGTCTGATTAGAGAAATTTCACACTAGCAGAACCCTTCCGTGTACTACGCGTCTCAGTCAGGTATCGGCATGGCAGGCGACGATCACCGCGTCGACGCTTTTATCAGTGGTAGTCCCTTTGCGTCGGAGTCACGGACCAGCAAAATGGGGCACGAAAAATGGTGGGTCAGGGTCCGCATTCTTCATTGGCTCCCGACGACGTCGCTTAAAGTTTAAACTACATCTTTCTCCCAACCTCGCCTCGCATGCATCCATCCCGATTCCGATCTTCAAGTCGACTACACGATGCAGGGCAAAACTAGTCTACCACACTGTCTCTACGCTTCCGCTCGATGAATTCCACGTCCGCTTGCGCTTCTGTCATGTTGCACACCAGGTTCTCCACTAGCTCTTCTTTTGTCGTGAAGCCTTCGATCCACCAATCCCGGAACTTCATCAACTCACCCACCCATGCGTCCCAGAGATAATACCGGCCGTCGTTGTCCCGTAGTATGAATTCGTCGCCTTTGGTTTCCTTGACCACTGGACAAAGACCTTCAATGTTGTAGTCTTTTGCAACATTCGCCTCCCGCTTCGGGTCGAAACACGCAGACAAGTACAGTTTCTTTGGATCGTTTGTCCATGATAACCGGAGGGTTGTGTCGTATTCGTCGTTGAGTTGGACATATGGTATGCCTTCTTCGTCTTGTGTCTTTCCCTCGTTTGTTGTGTTGGGAATAAGCCGCAGCTTTTCTAGAATGGTTGCAAACATCTGCATGTCGGTGTCGCAGCGGGGTTATGGTGGCACAGTGAGACCGGAGTCACTGTTAAGGAAGTGCTTTGGTTGCGCAATCTTGGAAGTGGACTTATGGTATGTAGAGAGACCCTGATAATTCATGAACTGCGGATTTAATAGGGAAGCGCATGCTCAACTGACGTATACCTGGACGGCTGCGGTGTAGACATGTCTATTTCCTTTTTTCTTGTACCAGATATCACAATACTTACGTGTCAGCGCAAAGACGGGTGATCACGGCGCTATATGTGACGACTGCACGATAGTCACAATGCAACCGTCTCGCCCAATCGTAGCGCTGCTAATTTACTGTTTCGGATCCATTTACCAAAGTACAATCCACTTGTCAGCGAATGCGATCTCGGCTACGTAGCCGTGTACCGAAACCACACTGTCAGGTGCCGCGGGGCCGGTCGCGCGAACATCAAGATTATCATAAGGGTCAAGTTCCAGATGGGTGGGCTGAGTCTTCAGGTACCTCACGGCGTATGCTATGAACTACACTGTTTCTGCTCCATATGTCATGGCTTAGTGACCGCAACTTGGCCTACAGAGCTTGCTAACACCACTTATATTTTGAGGAGAGATTACTGGCCGTTGTCATCCTCGTTAATCACAGTTCGAGGGTCTATGTCGTTGGAATGTGAGCCCAAGATAGCCACTCCGCGACCAAAGCGCATTTCCACGGCGAGATCACTGGGGTGGCATGGCCAAAAGCGAAGACCGCGCACATTGAGTCGAGTCGAGACTTTGGTTCCTGACCCGCTGAAGTGAGGTACTGCATCCCCCCTTGGCCTGACACGAGGCTAAATCTCGAGGACTTTGGTACGTGTGGTAGACCACTGCGGGGTTCACTGGTACTTTTTCGGCGACTTGATGTCAGAGTCGTTCGAGACTTGATACGTGTCAGTTGATGAGTGGCAGAACATCGTAGTACGATGCACTATCCCGTGTTCTAGGCGATCATGATCAATGTAGTTCCCACATGATGGGAAAGGTTTGATGTCACAAGAGCCAAAGCCAGCCTGACAAGGCGTTTTACCTACAATTAATAAGCAGTGGCTTCAAACAACGCGCCGAGTATGTGTCTTGTAGTACTTATCATACTGAGGCTCGGGATCTTTACAATGTACATCTTCTGTACCACACCAGCCGTAGAAAGAGCAACATAATTTCAAGCCACATGAAGTCTGTCCATCGGCTGGATCAATGCCACACATTGCTTTCGCATCGCAGTTGGGGATATACTTCTCGCCACAATTGTTCGATTTGAAACCACATTTACCTATAATTTGAGCGACGGGATTAGTTGTGACTCGAGCAAGGATGAGAAATGGAATATAAATACCATCAGAGTTGCCTAGAAAGGACGTTCATGTTAGCACAGTTCTTGGATATATGACAATGGGCATACGTAAAGCAGGAGCTGTTAAGACAAAGGTTTCCTGGTCCGCACTGAACAGGGCCTTCCACTGCCTGTCTCTTTGCGAGTGCGCCACGTTGGTGCATTTGATGATGAGATGAGCGACGCCATGTCGAAGCTGGGTCTGTCTCGTTGGGTAATCTTGTCCCATTGACCGAGCCTGTAGAGGTTCTTCGGGTGCCAATGGTTCGACATCGTGAGCACTGGCAGCAAGCGAACAGAGCCTCGACGTCGCATCTCCGCCCTGTAGTCCTTGGGCTCTCAGCGCAATTGCTTGGGGCTGGCAGTCAAATTCTGCGTCGACTTCAATGGAGCCTCCTATGCGTTGCTTCGGCAGTGCTGCCCATCGCATCGCAGCATAGGCGCCTGCAAACTCGCTGAGACGACTCGATGGACCAGTTTCATCCCGCTATTTGGCTGCTTTAGTGCTACGGCCTGTTTTTCCTCCCCCAAAACGAATCCAGCGTTTCTCCATCATTGCCCTCAACGAAAAGAACCACGTGAATGCAATATTCGTCCTGATCGATTTGGTTAATCATAGCCCTATCGAAAAAGACTCGACTTCCTTCTGGGATGTTGCCGCTTCGAAGGAAATGACTGAACTCGTGGTCTTCTCTAGATCCATCTGCCCAGTCCCTGTCATCATCATCAGGGACGACTTCCACCGCTTTGACACCGTCGCCCAAGTCCACCGGGTTCATGTACAGTTCGTCTTCGCATTGCATAATCTCTTCCTTATTGACATTGAGGTATGAGTGGACTTGCGAGACGAAATCATGTAAGGATATAGAAGAGCCATCCTCCTTGTCGATGATCAGCGGCTCTGGGGCAGCGTATCGGTCTTCCTCCTCTTGCTCGTCCATGTTGCGTTTCTCCTCGCAGACGTCGATGTAGACCGAGATTTTGGTGAACGGGGGACTTGCCAAGGACTCTGAGGCGATGCTAGCGCCCATGAAGGGCGTGAGAGCATTTCCAGGATCTTTGACTTGGATGTCGTTCAACGAGCCGAAAACGTCCCAACGGAGTCGTTCCAACAGGTCATCTCGGAGTCGGTCAAGGTAATCCACTACCGGCGGATCAGGCGTATCCTCGCGGTCTACCTCGTTAGGCAGGCTGGGCTTCATTACAAAGAGAAATGAACAAGCAGATGGGGCGGAAAATTGCAGTTGGAGGTCAAGGGACTGAATGGTTCTCGGTGAGAGCGTGGGTGGTGGTCCGAGCGCTAACTGTGCTACCGGGTAACTTACCGGCCCGCACCACTTTTTCCTACACCTATGTTGTGTTCTAGGCAATTATAATTAACGTAGCTTTGTTCCGGTGTGATGGGTGTAGTTCAGGAAGCAAGTTAGTGATGCAATTGGTGGTTCAGTCTAGACGATACTGATAGACGAACGACGAAAAGCACGGGCGATTAGTTGCGCCTACCCATCAGCATGGACAAAGACAACGTTGGACACGAAACAAGGCTTCTGAAAGGAGAATTGGATATGGGACTCTATCATAGTTGACGAAATGAGAATGCAGACGCCAGAACGCTCATCGCCGATGCAGAGCAATGCAGTCGTCACATGAAGATAACCCCCTCACCAGTCTGACAGGTATTTCCCCTTCTCTCACACGCCGGCCTAAACTTTGTAGTATGTCGCGTGCGCTTGTACGGCACTATCCTCACGTCCACAGCCACTTGCGGCAATTCTTCGCCCCGCAAAGACAAGGAAGCGCCCCCTCACCCGGCTCATCCATCTCCTCCCCCTCTTCCTTATCAAGGTAATCAAACGTCAATTCCTCGCCCTTGGGGATAAACCTTCGTGCAAAGAACGCGATGTCATAAACTCTCGGATCATGCTTGTTGTACGAGACAGTGTATTGCCGACAGTTAGGGTCACATGAGTGATTGATGAACTTCGTCGGTCCGCCCATGAACTCGCCATCCACAACGTAGAGATCTTCTTCTTTGAGGCCTTCTGACTCAGCGAACTTGTCGAGCGAGTACAGATAGGACGCTTTTGCTTTTGACGACGAGGTTTCGCGGCGCGTGGCTTCGGCATCTGTTATGACTTCGCCGCGGTAAGTGTCGATGAATTGGCCTTCGTGGAGATCTTGTTTGCAGCGGAGACCCCAGCCACGCCCGTCATTCGCTCTAAAGATTTCCACTTCAACCTGACGCCCGAATTGGACGTTCTTGTTGCGACAATTGAGGCCGCAGTTGCACTTATCATTGCACTCGTAGATTGGACGACGGGAGTTAAGGTAAAAGGGTACGAGACAGCCGGTCTTCTCTCGTTTCGTGCCTTCGGCGAAGTAAGGGAATTTCTTCGGAAAGCCCATTGTTGAATCTCCATTCTCGAGCGCAAGTTGGTATTCCCGCTTTCTTTCTTCATCGAGGCGGCTCTCATCCACTGCAGCGTATTCCAGACAGTCACACTTCTTTGTGTATTCGCATCCGATGTCACGACCCATGTGGGGTGAACACTGTGAGCAGCCTTGCTGTGTTTCTAGTGACGCGCGGTAGACACCTTGTTGCTCATCTAGGACATATTCGGAGATGTACCGGAAGCGCAGTGAGGGAGTGGCTTTGTCGACCACATTGAACAAGTGAATGGGTTTGCCTGGTACTTTTGCTAGTCTCCGGACATATTCATTGCGGATGTACATAAGTGCTTTGTCTACACTCGAACGATGCGCAATGCGGTTCATCTCCGGCGTGGGCACGCTACGAATGTCAAGTTCGGGTATGTCATGACCTGCGGCCTGTCGCATGTCAGTGAAGAACCCGAAGGGAACCTGGGCGTAAAGACTCACTTGTCTACAGAAGACATGGCCATATTCATCAGCATCCAAAACGCCGTTGTAGATGTCACTGGCTTGAGACGTGACTGTTGCCGCAGATGACACGGATGAAGATCGAGAGGCTGACGGCGTACGACTCTCTTGTAAACGTCGATCGAATGGTGAAGAGCGGCGTTCGCACGATGAACCCCCATCAGGACTCTTTCTTTTCCTCGAAGGTTTTGTGTCTGAAGGTAGCGGTAGGTTCCTAGATAGGTTAGTAAGATGCCGAAAGCTAGTACTGAGATGCCGCTTACTTCTCCCTCACCTCGAGGTAGTCCTGGATCTGCTCTAGGCATCGCACTAAGTCCTTAACCGAGTGCCAGCTGAGCGGCGGTTTCGTTGTCGAGGTGTCCGATGTCCAGCGCACAAGGTACTGCTCGTCCTAGACCCTGATATCAGCATCGCGCACGGACCACATAGGGTGAAGGAATACTAACGCCGTTCTGAACGCGGTTTGACACGATTGAATGCACCTAAAGATAGTTTTAGTATTAGAACGCGTGAAAACGAGGTTTGGGAAGTACTTACGCGGTCTACTAGGACACGGCGCCTCTCGTGTCCGTTGGCCGGGATTACGACCATGGATGGCATCCCTCTGCAACTGTATCGCGTTAGCCTTCTCTCTCAGCTTGCCCGGCATGTTCAGGATCTTTTGTGATAGAGTCGAGCTGTGTTTAGAACAAGTGCCGCGTTGCTAGATAACTAGGTAGGCTGTGCCGCGGCGTAGGTGACAAACAGGTTACATACCTAGAAGACAGTAGACTAGCCGGCGTTCCTAGATTCTAGCAATACTAGTACGTAGAAGAGATTATTAACGTAGATAGTTTTTGTTAGATGTTTATCCTTTACGCTGTTAGGAAAGTAAAGTTAGGCACCTAGCTGCTAGAGTTAGTGCGTGACTGTAACTAACGGCAAGCAATGCTTAGTAAGCAAGAGCACGGACGATATAGCTAGTACGCCTTACCTAGTTTGTACTAGTTAATCCTAGAGCTTTCTATCTAGCTAGCTACCTAGGTAGTAAAGATACAGATCTGTACTTCTTTCTAAACGTTTTAAAAGCCTCGCAAAGGGTTTGTACAGAGAAGGCGTTTAGACGCCGCATTATCTGCTACGCGTCGAAGTTAGTAGAATCCTGGGACAGGTCTCTTAGGCAGTATCTCTAGCCGTAACGCGCTCCAGAACGCAAATCCCGAAGTCAACATATAGAACTTCTTCAGGCATAATTCTAGCAACAGGATCGCGCAGGGCAATGACTTGTCGTGCCTGAACTACGTGTGTTCTCCCAAGTGCTCCAACGTGCGCTAATTCGCATGTGGCGCGGCCATGGTGCCTTATCGCTATCTTAGCGGCTTTCATGAGCCCTCCAAAAAAAGTTCGGCCCGCATGTCAGGCCTCAGAGCGAAGACATCGTCGCGACACAACACAGCACATCATGGCATCAGACGCGCAAAATAACCCCTTCATCAGGAACCTTGCTTCTAGCGGTACGAAACCACTACGTTGAGAAGACACTTGGACGGAACGCTAACGTTTGCGACAGACAAGAAAGTTCGCGACAATGCACTCGATTCACTCAAGACATACCTCGGCGCGCAATCAGAGATATCAGAACTAGACCTCCTGAAGCTATGGAAGGGCCTATTCTATTGTACGCGCTCTTTGTGCCTTGGCCTAAAACACTCCTCCTAGGCACTCCGTAACCCATCCTACAAAGGCTAACAGAAACCTTTAGGCCTATGGATGCAAGACAAACCCGCCCTCCAGCAAGGCCTATCGCGCGACCTCGCCTCGCTAGTCTCAGCCCTCCGAACTCCCGTCGTACTCCCCTTCATCCGCGCCTTCTTCCTCACCATGTCCCGCGAATGGACCCGCATCGAAGCCCTCAGACTAGACAAGTACCTCTACCTCATCCGCCAATACGTAAACGCGTCCTTCACCTTCCTCAGCAATAAGAAATGGAAGAAGAGCTTGGTGGAACAATGGAATGCCGTTGTGGAGGAGACCCCGCTGGAGTGCGAGAATATGAGGATCCCCAATGGACTGAGATACCATGTCATGGATGTTTACGTCGATGAGATGGAGAAGGTTGAGGGAGAGGCGTGGGAGAAGGAAGACAAGAAAGAGACGGTGGAGACTCTGGTGTTGCCGATTGAGAAGATGGCCAAGGAGGGCAAGTTGAAGACGCTGAGGAATGCGGCGAAAGAGGTTTTGGCTGATGATAGGTTAAGAGCTTGGAGGGGGCAGGAAGTGGAGATGACAGAAGAGGCTGAGGATGACGAAGATTCCGAGGCGGAGTGGGGAGGCTTCGCAGACTGAGCACTATACCATCTGAATGTCTGAGAGACACATTGCATATGATTTCAGCGAGGCGTTTAGGGAGAATTGTCCTGCACATAGGGCATGGAAAAGTATCATAATTCGGAAAGCAATCTACAAGACACCGAACTTCAAAAGAGCATTGCAAGGGATGAGATGCCACTTCCATGGATTATCTCTCAGCTTCTCCCCCGTCTCAGTCTACGCGGGTATTAATAGCACCATCTAGATCAAATCAGCGGTACACTTTCGCCCGTTCCGCACACAATACTTACATCCATCACTCCTCCTCGCAGCACCGCCACCCGTCTTCTCCTCCGTGTACCGACCGAGCAGATCCGGCCTCACAAAAAGCACGTACAACCTCCACAAAAGCGGCGGCACCAAACACGCTACACTGACCGCAGCGACCTTCTTGCTCAGCGCCGCACCCGGCCCCCCTCCCTCCAACAGATCCAACACGATCATTGGGATCAAAGCCGCCTCTCCGAGCCCCAAGAGCATATACGTAGGTCGTCGGCTCTCGATCCCATTGCGCGTATTGGTCGCGCCGGCGAGTAAAGCGGATGTTAGACCGCCTACGATTAAACCGCCGCACAGACGAGCAAAGAGGACTGAGGCAGGGTTGATATCGCGGGAGGGATTGTTGAGGAGCAGGGAGAGCGTCCAGCGCGTGTTTGTTATCAGCGGGATGGTGAAGAGGTTGGCGAAGGCTTCGAGGAGAAACGCTTTGCGGATCGTGGAGCCGTTCTGAGATGGGTCGGGTGTGATGGTTGGGTTTGCGGCTGGGGATTTCGTTGTCGGCATTTTGATGGTTCAAAAAGTTTTTTGCCTGGGGCGGATGGGAGGTCTTAGGCGTTGATATGGATTAGGAATTTGTTTACATGTATCCGGACATGTCGATGTCGTAGTCCAGGTTCCAGTCTACTTGACTTGGCGTGACTAGTGCGGACGTCATGATTTCGTTACCCAAAAAGAAAGACCAAGGGAGCGAAATCGCCATTGTGATCATGCGGTCATGACAAAAGCCTAGCTGATCTTGGATCAGATGGATGCATCGACCTCTCCTGACTCGCTCCGTATGTATTCGCATGCAGGGCGCGTTGCATCCTGGTTAGTCGCGTCTCTAGTCAGGAACGCGTCCATGGTCTTTCGAGGCCGAAACGTGGCATACAGTGATGCATCATGTGCGTCTATGCACCTGCGCTCTATTCATCTCGTTGGCCTAGTGAGTTTGCGGCTTGTGACGTGTGGTCTTCTCCTGAAGATGCGCGAGCTGGACGCTGTCAGCATTCAACCATCGGCACATCGTTCAGATACGTGAAAATGATTGCCAATGACTAAATTCAGGCATCTAGGTATAGCGCTGGCGCAGTAGTGATAGTTATGAAGCTCGAGTGAAAGATGGGTTATGATGTCAGATGAGGGCTAACGGACCGACCAACCATAGCAGACCTCAGCTTTCTTGGACCGCCGGCTACTGACCGCCAAATACTTCCGGCAGTAATCTTTCGTCACCCACCACACAATTGAACGCAACTTTTGGGCCCATCATGGGTCGTCGACCCAACCAGTTGATTCTCGAGTACTTCGAGCGCGGACCGAAGCTGGAAGATGCAAGCAACCGCTACCAGCACACGTGCAAGTCGTGCGGCGAAAAGGTGAGTGACCCCGCTCCGCAAAAAAGTTGACGGTGTAGAGTGAGCAATAATAGCTTACACATCGCAGTTTCCCAAAGGCCGCATAGACAGTCTCACGAATCATCTCGTCAAGAAATGTCCCGCTTTACCGCTTCAAGACCGCCAGCGCGCGCTGCTGCAGATGCACGAGCTGCCACTCCCCGACAATATGACGCAGACGGCCACCACCAACGCACCCGGACCGAGCCAGATGCAGCATGGCCAGAAGATGAACCTTCCTTTTGCGCCGTCGAAGCAGTTGTCTGCGCTTGAGACGCTGGCGGAGGTGTCGCGACAACATCTGGACCTCTCTGGGAAGCGCATGGCAGAGAAGCAGCCGTCGCAAGCGCACAACCATGGCAACCACAACCATAACAACAATGCGAGCCATGCAGGGCTTTTGGAAGAGTTCCTGATACAGGATGATCGGCCCGATGGCTCTGATATGGGCGGCCTCTCACACGGGATGGACATGTCGCATGCGCCAGCAATGCCCTCCATGTACCAGTTCAATGGATCATTACATCACTCTCCAACTGCATCACCACACATGGGTCATATGCCTTTGTCAAGCTCTGGATCGATGTCGCACATGGTTCCGTCTCTCGTCATGGCAGCATCAGCAGCGAATGACCTCATGCCGCTGTCAAACGGTATGCCTATGGAGTCGGACATGAATCTCTCAGCACATGGTATGCAGGGTATGTCAGACGGCAAGTTCTTCCATCCCCAAGGACGAGGACATTGGCCGAACATACAGCCCAACTCACTGGACCCGATGCTACAAGACCATGGCAAGGAGCAGATGCACGCGAACGACCACTTAAATAAGGGAATGAGCCATCAACGACCACTTGCAATGAGCCCAGGCAACCAGACCCACTTCACCACCGACTTCAGCATGAACCAGAAGCCGGCCAAGCCCAAGGTCAGGGGACGTTTCACAGACTCCAGGCGGAAAGAAGTACAGGAGGTGCGCAAGCGAGGTGCGTGCATTCGGTGTCGCATGCTCAAAAAGCCATGTTCGGGCGACAACCCATGCAACACCTGTCAGAACGTCGAGAGTGCGCGATTATGGAAGCAGCCATGTATCAGGACAAGGATTGCAGAAGAGTTCGGTCTCTACTCTGCAGGTCTTCATAGCGTGTTAGCATTCCATGCAACAAATCAAGCCAAGGGCCAGATACGGCTCGATCAGACTCCAGGGCGCATAGAAGCAACCCACTTCCCTCATTCCGGTATCTTTGCTACTTTCACGCCGTTGAAGTGTCAGCAGACGCAGACAGCGCAAAACGCGGACATCGATCCTGCGATCTTCGCTGGACTGGCTACTCCGGATCTCGAACTCATAGACAGTGATGACGATGTCAGTGGGAAGCTAGACCACTATATCAAGAAGATGGGGGGCCACTTTGCCGATACCGAAGACTCGAACTTCATGAGGATGACTGTACAGACCGCCAAGAGCGTTGCATCGTCAAGCGCAGATGGACTAATATCAAAGGCCCTAGAACTCTGGAATCTCACGCGCGTGCTCACGTCCCGGAACTTTGAATGGTTTCTCTTTTCAAATCCCTCGCTCGCGCC